TGGTTTCATTGTCGCGTAGAATTATGTGAAGATTGGAGATATTCAACTGGCTGACAAACTATACGCTAAAAGCAATGGAAAACATATTAAATAAAGCTATTTCCAAGCACTACTATTTACAAATGTCTTTAGACAAATGGCTGTGCAACTTACGGCCACATTAAAACCGAGGTATCCCAATAAGAATGTGGTACACAGTCGTACGTTGAATCATTAGCACAGATGAGATAACAATTCTGATGATATGTGCAGGCGAACAAGGTTTACCTTACTGAGCAAAATGATTTGCCGAAAGTCTAATAGTTCCGGCAGTTGACTGAGCGAAGAACAGTTAGCAATAGTGTCCAATGTATCTGTATTACCTTCAAACAATCGACACTGCCGGGACGTGAAGACATCGCAGTCAAATATATGACACACAGTTTTAATGTACTTGTTAAACTTATTGAAAGAAGTTGCGCAGAGGTATTCATAGGAATGGATTGTTTGTTTTGGTTAAGAACGGGCTGGATCTCAAATACTTTCTGTGGAGAACTTTGTTTAATCGTACCGATAAAAACAGACAATTGCCAAACAAATATGCAACAATGATGAAAGATAATCATGCTGAAGTACTGCATATCACTAGAATAGGTTCTTTGTTGAGTGACAAACAGAATTATCGTTTTGATTGTCATTAAATACCTATTAGCTTTGCAACAATTACAATGGGAGTAAAAATGTAATTATTAGAATGATTTTATCTTTTAGTACACAACTAATAAAAGAAACTGTCCAGTAAAGTTGTTTTTTTTTACGAACAATATGAAATGGGTTGTCCTATAGGCATAAGGAAACCCAGTTAAAATTCATTTACGAATAGGCGCAAATTTTTCAAACAGTGAATATAAGCATACTTAGTTCCAACTCGCGAACTGTACGTCTTCTCAAAGATTTACTTTAGTTTTACCTCATAACATACTTGGAACTATATCGTAAGCATGTTCTAAAAATCAGCTTCAATCATTTATATTTCAACTTTCGCTGTTTTTAACCTTTCAAATCCAAGGTTTAATTCGGTCTGACACAGTCGCATTGCTGTTTGAAACTAACATGTTGCAAAAGAAATGTGTCCAATATCACAAAACGGAGAGGACATAGCTCGTTTTTGATTTTACATTGTGCTTACGCGCCATAAAGAGTTTATATCTTTGTACGTTCTGCACGCGCAGAAAGTACGTTCGCTATTCGGTTTCAACATGACATCGCATTTTTTTCTGTCTGTTCTCCTTGTTTGTATTCGATGCTTCAGACGCGATGACGCCTACTTTTCTCTCTATTCTTTGGAGTATAAATACTTTAGACCATTGTACACGAAGCACAACGTGATAGAAAGCAAGAGTCGACGTCTTACAATAAAAAACACTTTCATCGCAAGTTAGTTCTATAAATAATTACTTTCACTTTTTAGATATATCACAAACATATTTATTCATCCGATTGTCAAGAAAAAATGATTCGTCGAGTTTATGCAGCCGTCGTTAAAACCATTGGACAAGGGCCAGCCTATGAACTAGTGGATGTACCACAACCGGCGAAAAATCAAGTTCAAATTCAAGTCATTGCTGCTGGCATACACAAAGTCGTTCGATCGATTGCTGACGGTCGACACTATGTCAAAGTGAAAACGTTGCCATTTATCCCCGGTATAGATGGCGTAGGAACACTTCCCGATGGAAAAAAAGTTTACTTTGTTAACATGGCACCTCCGAATGGTACGATGAGTCAATTAGTTAACGCTGACGAAAATATGATAATTCCACTGCCTGACAATGCAGATCCAGTACATTTTGCTGCTATTATGAACGCTGGTTTAGCTTCGTGGACAGCTTTGACTGAACGCGCACAAATAAAATCAGGTGAAACGGTTTTAGTACTCGGTGTTACAGGAAGTTCAGGTCAAATGGCGGCGGCATCAGCTCGTCTACTCGGAGCAAAACGGGTTGTTGGCGTTGGACGGAACAAAAGCCTTCTTAATCAATTAGTCGCCGATGGAACCATCGACGTTTCTGTTCCTTTAGATGATGATGATACAAAATATCAAGAATTAATTGCAAAAGAAGCTGCCGATGTTGACATTGTAATGGATTTTCTCTGGGGCCGACCAACCGAAGTTGCCATGGCAGGTATTCATGCTGGACGCAATGATTCGTCTCAACATTTACGTTGGGTACAAGTTGGCCAAATGGCAGGCGCAACGATTCAATTGAATGGTGGATTTTTGCGAAGTAAAAACGTAGAACTGATTGGAAGTGGCATTGGTCCCATTTCGATGAAACAGATGTTGCAAAGTCTTCGAAGTATGGTACCAATGGTCGTCGAAGGAAAACTGAAAACATCGGTTTTAACAATACCATTGAAGGATATCGAAAGTAAATGGCAAGAAACAGCCGATGCGAAAGAACGTGTAGTCGTTGTCATGTAGATTTATTTAGAGGCGAAAGAAAGTTTTTTGTTGTTGTATAAGTATTCCTTAATAGAGTCTTGATCATAGTACTACCTGTGGATTGAACAAAAAATTCTCACTCAACATCCGACTTTTCATCAATCTTTGCGATATTCGTGCTGGTTCAAATGAATGGATCGAAGAACATTGATTGGTGTTTGTTGGATGTCCGTCCGTCGAGTAGAAGACATACTGAATGACGGTTATTCATTTGAATGCTTTATTCTTTTCTACAATGAAAAACGAATGGCTGAGTTCTGATTTTATGTTTAGTAGAGTCATCAATTGCTCGTTTATTAAAGCAACAGATTAAGTATAGTACTCTGAAGATACGAAATGAAATGCACCATGACGGATCATATACTCATGTTTGTGAACATTCTTTCGTATTGTAAGAAAATGCGTTTTTTTAAATATGAAACAGTCGGAAGTGTTTGACTTTGCGGTATTTATCGGAAATGATCGTTCTCAAAATATATTTGTTCTTCCTTATACTTACAAACACTGGTTGTTCATGTAAATAGATTTGATGATGTCTCTTTCTACTTGATGGTCGTTTGAAAAGTTTATCTTCACTGACAGTGGATGTGCCATTCATTGAAATATCATCTACATTTACTAGTAGTCGTGTTAAGTAAACGATTATGTGCGTACAGCTTGAAATAGTTCGCCTCAAAATGTCTACGCCTTACAGCAGTTCACGATTGTAGAATTACATGACTATTTAATCGAATGATTAACTTACAACATCTCACATTCTATTTATACATAATGTGATGTAATACGATTGATCTGAACGAACGCCTCTTCAGTCGTTTATTAGATTTGGATATGTTGTCATTTGAGATTTGTACAATCATGCCAACAAGTCAACCAATGATATTAGAGAAACATTTACCAATTGGAAATATTCTCATGTTGGATGTAGCATGGATCATTTCTCCGATAGAATGACACACGTTCATTCGAATATGACTTCTTCCATTGGATGTCGAAAGCCGTTTCATTGATTAAATACTTAACATTGGATAATTTCATAACGCTAATACAACGATTTGCACATGATGTGATTTCATATAATCATCTCGTTCGATTACGCCTGACTCATGTACATAGTGATTACGTTTATCAATTTCTTTGTCATACGAAAATATATTCTCCATGACTTTCCATATTGAAAATACAATATGACAAATTAGCCATCGCTACGAATAATTTCATCAATGTTACAACGCACGCCAATCTTAGACAATTGAAAGAACTTCTATTTGGAGAATTTATTGACTATCCGAAAAAAAAAGATTTTCATGACTACTTTCCTATTTTGACTGGATAACTCTTTCTCTCTTGTTTGCAAGCCGAGCAAAATGTCGAAATATAGAGAATAGGCCAATCCTCTTAAAAGTTTGTGTCAGAGTAAGAGAAACCAATATTGATTTTGGAACTGCATATGATGAGTTCGAGGAAATTCAATCTGCGATTAAATCCGTTGTCCCATGAGGGTGAGAGTTACTTTGTCGGTGGATGTTTCCGAAGTATAAATATGGAAATGGTATTGACAATCCTATTGAGGGATATTGAACACAAATGGGAAGTAGCCGATGCGGCGGAATGTGTGGTTGCTGTTATTTAACTGGGTGACCATTTAAATCACGATCGCAACCATAAGATAAATATACGCATCTCCAGAGTTTACTAAAAGAATTCTTGAAAATCATAAAAGTTACATTAGATAGAACCTCTACAGAATTATGTTCAACATCGACCCACACCCTTGTCAGTGAACACTTCGCACCGTCCAAAATATATACACATGTCTGCTTGATCGCCTTTTTCAATTACTCTTTTCGAGAATTATTATCCTCTTTTAGTTTTCAAACAACCTAACTCACGTAAAGTAACAGCAAGTATGTAATTATTTATACCGCCGTTTTCGTTCTTAACCAGTGCTCGTTATTCTTTCTACTCTTCCAGTTCATTCATATTTCGCGTGATTTTACTACATATTTTTATATGTGGTTGTCTTTCAAAATATTATTAAAAAAGAACAAATATTGCCATTGGAACAAGCATTATTACTACTCTGATTGTTTTAGAAATAGTAGATATTTCTGCGACGTCACAAGCGATTTTCATATTTACTCGTTCATGTTTTTCTAAGGGTATATTTATTTTCTTATGTTCGTCAAATTCTTACTTTCATTATATTTTTCTTCATTAAACTGGATCAAACATTTAACTTCCACATTCGTTAATACTAACTAAACGTTAGCTGACTATTTTGAGAGAAATTCTATATGTTTACTTTTGCAGCTCTTAATCATCGACTAAATCATTTCACGTTGTGAAGATCGATGAAAAGAACCATCTTATTCTCTTTATTACAAAATTTGAATAATTCAAGCGATTTTCTACATAGCTAAGCGTATTTTATTTATTCGAATTGCTGCATATATCAGTTTATCATGCCACTTTAGTAATTTCTTACTAAGTGTGAATGAGAACAAAAAAGACATTACAAATTGTATAATTTCACTTCAGAATACTGACAACAGAACGTTGGCTTTCGTTTATCAGACACCAGAAAACGATAGCTTGTGTACTCTTCCGTGTTGTTAAAACGCAGAATATCCCCACACTGCTTTCGTCCAGGGTTTCTATAGAGTCCACTAGTACCATTGTACAACAGCGTCCAACTGCTACCAAAGGTAAGATCTGTTTCTTTCATGTTACTTCCTTCCAGAGAGACTAATATTGGATCACGTCCAGAGACATCGTCGCCAGTACAAATTTTCAATCCATTCACCAACGTTGAACCTTGTTCTAACTCGAGATAAAAACCAGTATTCACACCACAGGTTGTACTTTTAGGATGCGCTTCCCCACACGGCCCAAAACTGAGATATTTAGTTGACACCCTACCGTCACATGCTTTGTCTGGAGATTCTCCTGGCATATAGTTACCTCTATTTCTGCCAGGCTCTGCCTCCGTGCTGTTGCCACCTATATATGTATCGTACACACCATAGACTTTTCCTTTGGCAGCTTTCATCGGTATTATACCTACAGAAGAATTTCGTTTTAGTATTCTATAATAAGTCATTTGATGGAAAGCGTGCGAGTGTGCATTTGAATCAAATGAGATTGATTACATGCAAGCAATATTTTGAAAAAAATGATTAGTTTTGTTTTTTACTGAGCAACATATACCTGGTTCTGAAGTTGCTGTCGTTGTTGTCATCGTGGACGAGTTAGTTTTGTTCTTTTTCAGAATTACTGTCGGAAGCAAAATACCGACGATGACCAGCAAAGAAATCACAATGATTGAGATGATGCACAGTATTTTCCTTTTTCGAACGCAATTTTGTCTAATAAAAAGCAAATCTATACTTTCGTTACTCAATAGTCTCCATAAGACTCATACGATGCATCCTTTTCTTTATTCGCCGTTTTCTTCACCAGCTTAGGATCCTTTGTCTTGGGCTGAAACACAAGATCAATTCAGTTAGATTGACTTTAAATTAATTGAAATACTACATAGTTGGTTTTAGCAGCATTCTGATTAGCAAGTGGGACCTTGTTGGTGTCCATATTTGATGCAAATCTAAATACACAAGCAGAAACACAGTTGCACGGCCCAAAGAAAAAGACTGAAGAAAATGTTGAAGAGCATGCTTTTTCACAAGTGCTCCCCGTTCTCTCATAATTGATGGTTAATTTGAGTGTTTGATCAAGAAATTCTTAACTCAAGACTTGAAACCAAATCACGACTTTTCTACCATAAGCACAGATGACAGATTTACCGTTTCTGAGAAATTCTTTATTTAAAGTCAATAGTTCAAGTTGATGGATGACAGTGTTATCTTAACTTTCTCGACTTCTAGATTTACTATAAAACTACAAGTGGAAAATGTTCTACGCCGAAGAAATATAATAACTGAGAAGAATAATTACTGAAAATCGCCACGATTTCTGCCACTTTTAATTGTCGTATGTATAAGTTAAGTTCATCGATACATGCAATTAAGGCGCAAATCAAAACCGCTCCTCATTGATATCATTGCAAGATGATACTAAATAGATTGCGGTATCGTAACATTGGATCTAATTCGATGTTCTCCCTGAGGTCCGAGAGTGTACACTGATAACTGCACGCTCTTGCTTACTAGAATGGATTGATAATAAATACGCAAGGTTCTTATTTAAAATAAACTTACATGAATCAATCTGGTCAATTATTCAGATGATTGAAAATAAGACGATGAAGAGTTGTTGAGAAGAAAAGAACCATGTCCAATACATCTCCTTGTGCATGAATAGCGTTTGTACTCACATCATTGAATACACCACTAATGTTCGCTACAGCATCTTCGAAATCGTGATAGGCAACAAGAGTTGCCTCATCAAGTACGTTAGCGGTTCCAGTGGTTGTCATTTCAATTTGAGAAAGTTCATCAACTGAACTGATGCTTCAAGAAATGTATCGTAGACGAACGTATCTTCTGGAGATATTGTAAGCAGCATTCAAGTAATCGAATGTATAGAATATATCAGTCCTTACTAGGTCAAGTTCGTGGGAAGTATACATACTGTGCTGGCCCAAACAAAATACGGGTATTTTGCAGTAAAACAGTTTTGTTTAGGATAGAAATATTAATATAGCAGTTAATACGATCAGTGATACTGCAGTCGATCAGTTATACAAAGAGTACCAATCACATCATGCTATTGATTGGTACGTTACACATTCTTTTGCTTTTCGTTTGGTAAATCGCACATTTCTTTATTGCGTTATCGATTTTAGTCAGCAATAGAATGAAATTCGTAGAGAGTAAAATATTCAATACTGGATCGATGTTTCATATTGAAACTGTCTTCCACCATTCACAGTCCTGGAGTGTTTGATGATCCAAATGAAAGCAATCGATGCAATGAAAATTAATTTCAGTGGAAAGAAGAAAGATCTTAATCGGAGAAATATCAATTTAATGTTCAAAAATTTATTAGCCGAAATGAACGAATATACGAAAGCGAAGTCTATTTCCGAGCGTCCCTGCAGGAATTACTCACATTGCATCTAGATGTTCCTACCATTTATGATTACACCGACAGTTTGAAGAGAAAACCAAGCAATTGGAATGAAGCTTTTTACAATTACAGTTTCAGCTATGATATCAAAATATGACTATTATTGATGCCAACCATCATAATCACGACGAAGCAACAGATCTGTGCCCTAAAACACGTGACACTTTCCAAGAAATACTTGCCGGTATATCTCATCAGTATTGCACATCTATTGATGAAACTCGAAGAATGTTATGAAGAGCTCGGCGTATTTTCGACAGAAATCTTTATCCCGAACATCTTCCAACTACTTACTACTGATCGCAGAGTATACTAAGATAAGCAGAATGAATACGATAGTGCTTTGAAATAAACCAGAGGTATTGGAAATCTTGATGTTTTAATCAATTACGGATTAGTTTTTGCAAGGAATTTTTTATTATTACAACAGAGAAGGGTTTTGAATAATATTGTCTGTAGAATTGGATACGTATTCTATTGAATGACGCCGCTTTCATGATGTCTTGGTATTTGATGATGTTCAAGCACAGGAACAGAGAACGAACCGATTCTAGGGAAGATATGAATACGATTGGCGTTTGAAACGTTATTATTAAATTACCTGTTGGGATCATGAATATGATCTGCGTAGTAAACGTGAACATCTTTGCCTTGATGCTCATCTAACAGTGAATGACGATTAACACGTTTATGATCAACATAAAAATGCGTATGCTAAAAGATTTGTCAGGACATTTTGGCAGAGAGATAGAGAAAAACGCTTTACTTCAGCAATATCATGTCCGTACAATCCACTGATAACAGTTGCTAACTGATCACTGAACATAAATTCGCGATTGAGAATTTCACATCGATACGCACCTGATGAAGAGATAAACGTACAAATGACAATTAGGAGCAAACGAACAAAGAGTATACTTTGAGAACTTCCTTTAATGACTGATATATGATGAATGGACGTGCCTTGGTGACCTTCAGGAATATGACTCATCTATATATTTCAATTTATAGATAAAAAAAAGGCAAATCAGAATCAAATTCTACTACTGATGGAAAATAAACGTGGAATTAGAAGAAATGTGTAATTTAGTATCAACTTGACAGCCCTTTGTAACAAAGAAAAAGCATTTTCTCTTTTCTCTATCCGATGCAAAAAAAAACTACTCCATAGCAACGACATCGTCCGAACAGTAAATCAGCAAAAGAATGAAGAAAAGAAAATGCTCCGCTTTTCTCCTTTCCTTTCGTTAAAAATGCATTCACACTGTCTGATATTGAATCACTCATGTATTAGACAGCAGATCAAACGTGATGCAGTCATTCAGACATAGCTGTATAGCCAAAAGTATTCGAAAACTAGAGATATTCATTGCTAGATAATGCAAAAAGACAAGTATACTATATTGAAAAAGAATCTAGGATAGGATGAGATGCGAACTATTTTTGAACTATATATTTTGATGTAGTAGTTTCCCGAACAGTTTTGATATCAATCTGTTTATTTAGACAGCCAATCTTAGTTTGTCTAAAAATGCTATTACGAGCTAAATCATAATCATCACCTTATGCATCGGATCCTCTTCAATAGGAACAGTAATAGCCATTCGTAGCACAATGACAATCAGAATTATCAACATTAGTTTGATCGGTTGTATTCATCATGTATGCGGTACCGTTGAAAATAAGAGCTGTTGCATGCGCAAAGAGCATCACAGCCGTTCTGCACTTTATATCAATGGACAATGGAAACATCGAGAGAGACTGGTTGAGAGAAAATAGGTGGCTTGTTTAGCGAAATCTCATGGTTGCTTCAGATTGAGCAACGTAATATTTTATTAGTCCTTTATCGATTGGTCATCTGAAAAATACTGTATTATGGAAACAGCTGATTTTTGTGATGTTAATTATTTAATTTGATGATTTTGTGCGAGAAGGAACTACAGTATGTGGAAAAGAACGGTGAAGAGTGTCATTTTTTGATAAGTGTTAATCGATTTAATTACGGATTTTATTTCATTTTGCAGATTTGTCTGAAAGACGAAAGACATCTCTCGAATAAATAAGCAACAACATGTTTTTCTGTCGATGATGGATTACATTTTTCATTATCAGCGTACTTATCATTGACGATGATATATGTTGAATTTTTTCAGTTAAGATTAAATTCTCCTTCTAAAACATTCGTTACAATTCATTTAATTGGCAAACAACGTCAGCATCCGTGCGAAAATTTCTATACAATATGTTGTTGATTAAATTATTTAACAGAAATACCAATAAGAGTATATTTGGTACATTAGGAGCAATTCTAACAATAGCAGTTTTTATTCGACAACGAATATTTTGGAATAATTCAATAATCATATATTTATTTGCTGGTTCAATAATAACAGCTATACATTTATCATTAGTTTATATATTTTATATTCTTTCTTATGGTTTTAATTTAATTTTAATCCATATGTCAATACAGATCGTAATGTAATTATTCGAAATCGGTTCGTTTAGTTATTTGTGGAACTTTACTTATTCATGGTCATGACGAATTACAAAAACACATACGTCGTATGTTATTTCTAGATTTCCATTTGGATATATACATATGTGGAAGCAATTTCTTTTACGAAAAAATCCTTACAAATCTTTCCGTTTTCTCTTTTGGGGGACTGTACACGAACGTATATGAGTTAAAAGATAGTCTTCCTACAGATTACCGCGATCTCACCAATTCGTTTAATTCTATTGAAAATATATGCAAGAGCATGGATAATGACGGGAGATCCCTCGACGCATTTCAAAAGACTCACAGTCGTCGGGCCATGCTCAGATAAGGGATTCATTCAATGTTATTACAGATGTTTATAATAAGAGGAATGACTACTTAAAAGCTATCGAATATCATAAAAAATCGCTCCTTCGGTGTCACTTATACTTATATCAACAATTACAAAAAAGTTCTACAATGTTGCTCAGAGAAAATCACTTCAAAAGCATCTTCATCTTATTAATTATCAAAACGTACTTGAAAACAGTCAGGAAAAAAAAAGAAAACAAAGGTGTGATGTGCGAAGAAAGTTAGTTAGATGGAATGAACTTGTCCACATTCTCATTCTCAAGATAATATAATTATTTGTTCTTTTTTTTAAATCAAAACATAATCAAAAAACAAAATATCATAGAAAAAATAAAAAAGTTAAATGATTGATATATCGAACCTGTATTTGGTAAATTTTCAAAACAATCAAATAACCCATTTGTTATATCAATTATTGTTCTTTGAACTTGATCTGATTGGCTATCTTCTCTAACTGTATCTCCATTTGTTAATAAAATAATACCCAAATTTCTTTCTTCATTCGACATCATTATAGTTGATATACCAGGTACTGATCCTTCATGTCCAATTAAATACCGTCCACCAATAGATTTCCAATACCATAAAAGACCATATTTAGTACTTGACATATTCATATAACTTGTTTGTGGTTCAGCACGAATAATTTCTTCAAAAGAAGATACATTATTTAAAAGTTTTGGAAATTTATTCATAAATGATTGAAAGAATAAACCCAATGAATGAGCTGACAGTCGTAAATAACCCGCTGGATATCTACTAAGACTATAAAAAGGTACATATAACCAATTTGAATTATTATTAACTCGAGAAACATTTAGTTGTGGTACCATAGCTTGAAATGATTGAAGCCATGATGCATTATAAATATAATGACCAACAAGATCTTGTTGTTTGTTTTGAAAATTACTTAATCGATAACCACCATTCTCTCGATCAATACCTAAAACTCTTAAGATTTTTTCTTGAACATATTCTTCAAATGATGTATTGGCTAAACGTTCAACAATATATGCGGCTAAACTCGCACCAACATTTGAATAAGATGTCGTATGATTACCGGGTCGGATAGGTAACCAGCTAGCATTGTAACTTAAATAGTTTTCAAGGACATCGCCAAGATTTGTTTTGGTAAAATCATCACCAGGAAGATAAAATTTCAATTCTTCTTCAAAATTCACTCCAATACCAGCTGTATGTGTAAGTAAATGTCTTGTAGTAATAATATCATCTGGATAGAATGGATGAGTAATATTTATACGAGGTGATAAATATTTATTGATATTTTCATCAAGATTAAGAAGATTCAATTCAACCATTTGCATGGCAGCAACAGCTATGAATGTTTTAGAAATTGATGCTAAGACAAAGATTGATGATGAGGCACTCATTGGATGACGTTCTTCTGATTCTGATATTGAAGGAGAATGATAACCGAATCCTTTTTCATAAAGAATTTCATCTCGATTTAGAACAACAATTGAAGCACCTGGAATATATGCTTTGTCGAGAAGATATCCGATCGATCCAGTTGTTGGAGGACATTGGAATTCTATTGAACTCGCTTGGATTAAAGCAACTAGAAATAAGAATCGAAGCATATTTTCTTTTGAATTTGCTTTCTTTTCCTTTTATCTCATTTATATATGCATATCTCTCGTGGAATTAGTCATACTTGTGACGATAAAACACAAAATATTTACTTTATTACCCTTGCAAAAAGAGGATTTACTCAGCAAATAACGTAAGGGAATGACTCATTTCGAGTTCCTTTTAAAAAACACTTTTTATAAATAAGGCAATAACTTTAAAAAACTCGGTGTTAAGCTAGCACGATGAAACAAAAGTTTCGGGTAGGTGTTTTTCCAAAGTTTGTGCCATGAATAAAATTGTCATCATTCGGCTCAGAATTAACTTGTGAATTGGATGAAATAGTTTTTATGGAGGAGACTTATTTAGTAAAACCTTTTTTAGCTAAACCTCTGTTTTGTTGTGCAAGCTTGACATCGATTTTCACAAATGAATTGACAAGATTTAATACATCTTGAATATGATAAGATGTCAGAGATGAGCAAATACACATTGCACTATCATGTCAGTGCCAGCTAACAGGTTCTAGGTTTTTGAGGGCTATAATATAGTATATTAGTACAAACCAGTGAAAGTTTCAGTACAATTTGTATTTGCGCGCCCGTCGTTTTCATAGTGAAAGCATGTTTTTTCAAGCACTCTTATGTATTTTTGCTGGAAAGATGGAATTCGGAACAATACAGAAATGATGAAAATTGTGAGTAGGTCTTCATGTAACGACGATTATTCAAAGATATTTTGATACTTTTCTCAGAAAAACACATCGATTGATACAGAAACATTTGCACGTTCACACAATAAAATGATCAATTCAAACCGATGAGTAGAACCTGAGAAATGAAGTATTTCCTGTAACGCATCGAATTGATGATGATGTTACGGCCAATCATTCTGTACGTCATCGACAAACTATGTAAAAAAATACTAAACTTTTTCTGTTCTTTTTAATATGCAAAATGCAAACTTTATTTTCAAAGTAAAACATCATTAATTGTTCCATTAAATCATTGAAATACATTAATAATCGCATGCTAAAAGCATAAACACGAAAAAAAGACGCCCTAACAATTGTTGATCGAACGAAGAATTTTGCATTCACACAGCCCACTTATAAACAGTAGCAGATCGACGAGCGCAAAAGTACTCAGTTCTCTCTCCTAAAAACTTCACTGTTCAACTATGTTCCGTTTTGGATAGAGAAAAAAATATCTTTTTAGGTATCGCGTAAGAGTAGGAAATATCAAAATTTCATCATATTCTTCGATTGAGATTGTATATGGCATAGAACAGAATAAATAAAATTATTTTATTTACTAATAACTATAGGATTAATATGATATAGAAAATCTTCTAATATAGATCAACATCAGCACTGTATATATTGAACGTTTATCTTCAAGAATTGAAACTAATTCAACAAAATTTATCTGAACATATGAATCCAACTGATGAAGATAAATATGATTTATGGTCGCCTGTTTCAAAGTTTGTTTTATTTTTATATAAAAGATTTCTTTATATTTATTCAACACTTAGATTTTGCAAACCACGAAAGAAATGGCTTTTGTTATCTGGATTGTTTGTAGTTCTCCTTGCGACGGCTATTATTACTCCTTTTGCTGTACTTGTTTGGGGTAAGTTTATACAATAGAAAGCATCAATAACTACTAAAATGTCGAAAATTTATGAAAATTTCCATTGAATTTCTTAGTTCCTAACAGTCAAAGAACAACAACGACAACAACAACTACTACAACAACAACCACCGCTACGACAAGTACAACTACTAGTACTAGCACCACAACTACTACGACTACAAGTACAACAACAACTACTACTAGTGAATATTTTTTAACACTATGATAAGAAAAATCAATAATTTTACAAAACTTTAGCTACAACACCAGTAAATCAAACATATATTTGTGGAGATATATCTCCGTATACATTATGGACATTATATTCATCTAATGGTATAACAATGACAATAAGTACAACTACTTGTCATTTCAATTCAACTCCATTATATTTTACAAGTGTATCTGGTACAAGTACACATTGGTATCTTGATGGTTATAATTCTATTTATGGATATTCACGAACAGGTTTTACAATTTATGCTCATTCATCAATAATTACAAATGGTTCATTGTTATTAAATTATTCGTAATCATATCAATGGAATGTCAATTGGATTGGTTATGCTTATTAAAACAATATTATTTTACTTATATTTTTTTTATACAACCCATAAAAATGGGTCTTTTTTTGTGAAATTTTCACTTCTACAATACGATTATTTCGTTTTCTAAATAAGTCGTCTCGAACAATGTGGATGTGTTACCGAATATTTCATACACACTTTAGACAAGACGTTATTCATCCCGCAAACTTCAATATATACGTATGGGTCAATCCATGAGAAGTCATCCATTTTCTAGAAATTTTTTATTTTCGAATAAAATCATTGAAAAATCTTTTTTTCGCGACTTTCTCAGCTCCTCAAGCTGATTTTTGATGGAAAAATAGCTAGGGAGTCATTCTCAGTTTTCTTATAAGTGAAAATCACAAACAATATAAAATATTTTTTCGGAATATTCATTTTTTTTATCAACTATTATGAAATTACTATGGAAAAAATTGATCAAACAACATGAAAAATAGTCACATGGTCCGAAAGATTGCTATTGATGTAGGTAATTTCCGTTCGTATGAAGGTTAAAAATCACTCTATAGCTATTTTTCATCGAGGATCCACTTGACGCACCAAAAAACTTTGAAAGAAACTTTTCTAAAAAAATGGATGGCTTCTCATGGCTTCATACATGTAATGATTTTGCGGCAAATTAACTTTTTAAATTAATTCCTAATTTTGACAAAATCAAAATATACGAAGACTCTGTTTCTTCAACTATAAAGTGCAGTTGAAATTGCATGATAGGGTTAGTGGTATGAGCAGTATTGCAATATAAGCGGTATAGTGGTATAATAACACAGGATGTATAGTAGCATAGAGGGTATATGCGATATAGTAGTTTACTTCTATACATCCTCTGCTAGTATACTACAATACCGCAATATCGGAATATCACCTATACCTCTTTTTTATCCTGTACCTATATTATCATATATAGGATGAGTAAGACAAATACTTCGATATTTGGTACAGGTCTGTGTGTGAATAAATAATTATTTTATTCCATGTCCGAAAGCCCTGTATATTGGTCTCATGAATGAGACGAAGTTAGTGTTCATTGACGTTTGTGGAAGTGATAAGTGCATTTTGAATTTGTCGCAAAATCAAAAACCCCAACACCTCTACTGATCAGACCCAGTAAATCTCAAGTCGCCGAGATGGAGAGGCTAGGTAAACTCTGTCGATGACTATTTTCCTTTCTCTTTCGTTTGTTCTTCTGTTTGTGTCTGTGCGCGTGGTTCGGTGTACTGGCGACTATTATGCATATATGTTTAGTACATATATAGATCGTTGTTCTCTTCGTGTTTTCGTGATTGTCATCTCGTTTTCTCTCTCCTCGTTGTGTTCTGATCATTCTCGATTCAATAAAGATATTGAATCTACATTGTCATTGCATCACCAACACCAACAAACTCTACATCGAAACACAGATGCGTTTTTCAGAATGGTTTTAACAAATTTTACAGAACATTTGAAATCTCCATTACTTGTCATCCGTTTTACGCATTTGATTTATTCGCATTCTATGTAGCTGAACAATTCTCTTGTACAATTCAAACTTTTTTCTAGTCATTTATTGTTTGCAAATACAAGTAAAATTTTCTTTCGAATTTCTCTGTAGATGTAGTTTTTGTTTCGCTTGTCTAATTTGTATTCTTTTATATTCAATATTCACTTGACTTTTATTTTCTTTTGTGTAGTTGATCATTATATCATTATTAGCATGTCTTTACTTCATACCGAAATAAATAAATAAAGTTTAGATTGGAAAGCATTTTGCTTAAATGGAGTAACGAAAAAAAATATCTCATGTAATTCAACGATTAGTTAATATTAGTGAAATTCATATGGTCAATGAAGATGATCAATCGTATATATCAATAGCAACAATGTAACGACAAACTGGTTGAGTAGCTAACCGCTTCTCATGGCACAGATGTTTATTGACTACTCTACATGACCGGAATGTCTCTATTTCGCAATAAGACACGCGCTTATATAGAGAAGAGGACAGAGAGAGATGACCTGAAGATAGTATGACACAGAGGTGAGAGAAGAAAGAACAGAAAGAGATGAACGATATCATTATCGTTACAAATAACATCTAATTATTCGTTGTACTTTAATTAAAAAACATCATCTTAAATTTTATTTATTGCATTCTAATCTCGATATTGTGTTTGTTTTCAATTCTTTAAATAACTTTTTCTGTGGTTGTATATTGGAAAAATTTCTTATTGATTCAGGAAGTGATACATATTTATACCCTGAAGGAAGTACTCATATACGAGAAACTATATTCATTTTAATGAGGAAGAAATGAATATTTTGAGATTCAGATGAATAATAATTAATTGGAATTCTTATACGAGACATCACAGAAAAGAGAAAAGATACGGTATAAGTTCATACGTCTTTTGTGTGAAACAGAGAAAACTGGTACAAACATCATTTTTAATAGGATAAAGAAGTGTCTGTTTTGCTCTTTCTACTACATGCGTATAAGAGTAAACTCCTGTTATTCGATGTTCATTATAACATTCTATTGAATGGCCAGTCGCATCACTAGTGACAGGATTTTTTGGATAATCTGAATGACTCATAAAACCCTACATTCCATTCACTATTTTAACTACAAAAGTTCTATACTTGCTCCCTCCAAAAACAGGAAGAGAAAGTACACTACGTAGTATAAACTTCATCAGCTGATTGATTTCCAATGTTCGAAATTAACTGCCATTTTTCTTCTTTGAACATATCAATATATATCCCTATGAGTACGTATAATTATGTACAGGATTGTTACTTCGTTCTATATCATTCTACTTTACAGTTCATTTAGCAGAGGTTTCTAGAATAATTACCATGAAAATATATGCTGTTTTCAAAATATAATTTACTTCGCTCCGTGAGATACAAAGGAGAAAGGTTTTGAGTAACATATTTCCATCAAAATAACGATAACTACAATCAGATGATTAAAAACGTTTGTCATCCCCATTCTTGTTCGAATTAAAAGCTAGTGATAGTGCTTCAAATCAAGTATGAATGATCGTTTTTACTGTTAGTATTTTTCATATAAGTATGTGCCAAAGGTGGACGAATCAGTGATTTTACGACTCAAGTCAAGTCAATTTAAACCAAAATCTAAATCAGTTACCATCAAAATTTTATTGCTGAAGAATAGAAAATATAACATTTTCATTATATGTCTATCCAAAACGAGCATCTGAAGAACTTTCACAACCCAGGTCAACAAATCCGATGCTGGATCCGATCGGATCTTACCGGATCCGACCATCCGACAAAATCCGATCGGATTCCTGGAAACGGAATTGCATTGGAATCCGACTGGAAAAATCCCATCGGTTGTTGCAAATTTTATGAGCGATCTTTCTAGCTATTTTCTATGATGACCCTTAGAAAATCCAGGAAATCCATGTTTCGGATCCGTCGAATTCCTGTAGGATCCGATAAAATTCAGTATTGGATCCGATGGGATCCGAGTATGGGATTGTTCGACGTGGGAACAGACAATGAACTCAATACTTCTTTTTTTTCCTGATTGATATCGAACATCTTCAAAGAAGTTATCGCGAGTGGTTTTTGGTATAACTGATGATGACAACGAAGGTATTTTACCTTCTTCCACATTTAACTGTTCAGAGTTTCTTTCGCTCAATTATTTATGATTCTACTTCTTGAAAACAACGAAGAAATCATCGTATTCTTATCAAAGAAACAAATGTGAAAAAAATGACCTATGGAAACAGAAACGGACTTCAATATTTTCGTGATATTTTCTCTTGTTTCAGATGAACTTTACTTGATTCGAGTCAAAATGACTGCACTTGCCTATCTCCGATACAAAAGTAATTTAATTAAGTTATCATTGTTTTAGATGAAAGCATTTCTATAAGACAAATCTGTGCGACCGTCTTTATTATTATTAAAAAATAATTAAAAAAACAAAATTTTTATATCTTTAAATATTGAAACTTAAGCGATTATGTTTGTCTTTTTTGAAAATACCCCCAACAACCAACCAGATTCGCTAGGATACTAAAAACAGAAACTTTTCAAATAACATTAACATTCTAATGTGTCCCTGTTGAACAAATTGGATTGAATTCATTACCATTCGATGTGGAACAATACTAGGTCTTGGTCGCCAAAAACAAATTGTATTTTTAACTTTTATTCGTAAGTTAGGTAGTAGTCCAACGGTAGCAAAAGGAGTAAATACGTAATATAATTCCATTGGCAAAAAATAAACTATCAAGATAATAATCCTTTGCTACAGTTCGCGATAAAATAGCTGAATAGAGAAAGAGCATCANTTCACTAAAAGAATTCTTGAAAATCATAAAAGTTACATCAGATAGAACTTCTACAGAATTATGTTCAACATCGACTCTTCACTTGTCAATTACTCTTTTCGCGAATTAGTATTCTCTTTTGGCTTTCTAACAACCTAATTCACGTAAAGTAACAGTAGGTATGTAATTATTTATACCGTCGTTTTCGTTCATAACCAGTGCTCGTTATTCTTTCTACTCTTCCAGTTCATTCATATTTCGCGTGATTTTACTGGGTATTTTTATATGGGGTCGTCTTTCAAAATATTATTAAAAAAAACAAATATGGCCATTGGAACAAGCATTATTAATACTCTGATTGTTTTAGGAATAGTAGACATTTCTGCGACGGTCACAAGCCATTCTCATATTGACTCGTTCATGTTTTTCTAACGGTATATTTATTTTCTTACTTTCGTCAAATACTTACTTTCATTACACTTTTCTGCATTAAACTGGATCAAACACTTAACTTCCACGTTCGTTAATACTAACTAAACGTTAGCTGATTATTTTGAGAGAAATCCTATATGTTTACTTTCGCAGCTCTTAATCATCGACTAAATCATTTCACGTTGTGAAGATCGATGAAAAGAACCATCTCATTCTCTTTATCACACAATTTGAATATTTCAAGCGATTTTCTACATAGCTAAGCGTATTTTATTTATTCGAATTGCTACATATATCAGTTTATCATATCACTTTAGTAATTTCTTACTAAGTGTGAATGAGAACAAAAAAGGCATTACAAACTGTATAATTTCACTTCAGAATACTGACAACAGTACGCTGGCTTTCGTATATCAGACACCAGAAAACGATAGCTTGTGTACTCTTCTGTGTTGTTAAAATACAGAATATGACCACACTGTTTTCGCCCAGGATCTGCATGGAGTCCGCTAGCGCCATTGTACAGCAGAGTCCAACTGCTACCAAAGGTAAGATCTGTCTCTGTCATGTTACTTCCTTCCAGGGAGACCAACATTGGATCACGTTCAGGGGCATCGTCGCCAGTACAAATTTTCAGTCCATTCACCAACGTTGAACCTTGTTCTAACTCGAGATAAAAACCAGTATTCGCACCACAGTTTATATATTCACGGCGCGGTTCCCCACACGACCCAAAACTGAGATATTTAGTTGACACCATACCGTCACATGCTTTGTCTGGAGATTCTCTTGGTATATATTTACCACTACTTTTGCCAGGCTTTGCCTCCGTGCTGTTGGCACCTACAGGTGTATTGTACACACCATAGACTTTTCCTTCGACAGCTTTCATTGGTATCATACCTACAGAAGAATTTCGGTTTAGTATTCTATAATAAGTCATTTGATGGAAGGCGTGCGAATATGCATTTGAATCAAGTGAGATTAATTACATGTAAGCAATATTTTGAAAAAAACTATTAGATTTGTTTTCTACTGAGCAACATATACTTGGTTCTGAAGTCGCCTTCGTCGTGGACGAGTTAGTTTTGTTCTTTTGCAGAATTACTGTCGGAAGCAAAATACCGACGATGACCAGCGAAGAAATCGCAATAATTGAGATGATGCACAATATTTTCCTTTTTCGAGCGCAATTTTGTCTAATAAAAAGCAAATCTATACTTTCGTTACTCAATAGTTTGCATAAGACTCATACGATGCATCCTTTTCTTCATTCGCCGTTTTCTTCACCAGCCTGGGATCCTTTGTCTTGGGCTGAAACACAAGATCAATTCAGTTAGATTGACTTTAAATTAATTGAAATACTACATAGTTGGTTTTAGCAGCATTTTGATTAGCAAGTGTGACCTTGTTGATGTCCATATTTGATGCAAATCTAAATACACAAGTGGAAACACAGTTGCACGGCCTAAAGAAAATGTTGAAGAGAATGCTTTTTCACAAATGCTCCCCGTTCTCTCATGATTGGTGGTTAATTCGAGTGTTTGATCAAGAAATTCTTAACTCAAGACTTGAAACCAGATCACGACTTTTCTGTCACAAGCACAGATGACAGATTTACCGTCTCTGAGAAATGCTTTATTTAAAGTCAATAGTTCGGGTTGATAGATGACGGTGATATATTAACTTTCTCGGCTTCTAGATTTATTATAAAACTATACATGGAAAATGTTCTACGCCGCAGAAATATAATAATCGACAAGATTTCTGCCACTTGTAATTGGCGTATGTATAAGTTAAGTTCATCGATACATGCAATTAAGGCACAAATCAAAACCATTTCTCATTGATGTCATCGCGAGATGATACTAAATAGATTGCGGTATCGTAACATTAGATCTAATTCGATGTTCTCCCTGAGGCCCAAGAGTGTACACTGATAACTGCATGCTCTTGCTTACTAGAATGGATCGATAATAAATACGCAAGGTTCATGTTTAAGATAAACTTACATGAATCAATCTGGTCAATTATCAAGATGGTTGAAAATAAAATGATGAAGAGTTGTTGAGAAGAAAAGAACCAAATTCAGTCTTGTTCAATACAGCAAGCACACCGTCGTATATTCTGGAGATATTATGAGCAGCATTCCAACAATCGAATATATAGAATATATTAGTTCTTACTAGGCCAAATTCGTGGGAAATACATACTGTATAGGACGAAACAAAATACGGATATTTTGCAGTAAAAATGTTTTGTTTAGGATAGAATTTTATTAATATAGCAGTTAATACGACCAGAGATATTCCAGTCGATCAGTTTTACAAAGAGTGCCCATCATATCATGCTATTGATTGGTACGTTACACATTCTTTTGCTTTTCGTTTAGTGAATAGCACATTTCTTTATTGCGTTATCGATCTTAGTCAGCAATTGGAAGAAATTCGTAGAGAGTAAAATATTCAATACTGGATCGATGTTTCATATTGAAACTGTCTCCCATTAGTCACAGTCCTGGGTTGTTTGATGATCCAAATGGAAGCAATCAATGCAATGGAAATTAATCTCAGTGAAAAGAAGAAAGATCTTAATCAGAAAAATATCAATTTAATGTTCAAAAATTTATTAGCCGAAATGAACGAATATACAAAAGCGAAGTCTATTTCCGAGCGTCCATGCAGGAATCACCCACATTGCATCTAGACGTTCCTGTCATTTATGATTACACCGACAGTTTGAGGAGAAAGTCAAGCAATTGGAATGAAGCTTTTCATAATTACAGTTTCAGCTATGGTATCAAAATATGACTATTATTGATGCCAACCATCATAATCACGACGAAGCAACAGATCTGTGCCTTAAAACACGTGATACTTTCCAAGAAATACTTGCCGGTATATCTCATCAGTATTGCACGTCTATTGACGAAACTCGAAGAATGTTATGAAGAGCTCGGCATATTTTCGACAGAAATCTTTATATAGAATATCTTCCAACTGCTTACTACTGATCGCAGAGTATACTAAAATAAGCAGAATGAATACGATAGTGCTTTGAAATAAACCAGAGGTATTAGAAATCTTGATGTTTTAATCAATTACGGGTTAGTTTTTGCAAGGAACTGTTTTGAATTACAACAGAAAAGAGTTTTGAATAATATTGTCTGTAGAATCGGATGCATATTCTATTGAATGATGCCACTTTCATGATGTCTTGGTACTTGATGATGTTCAAGCACAGGAACAGAGAATGAACCGATTCTAGGGAAGATATGGATATGATCGGCGTCTAAAATGTTATTATTATTAAAATACCTGTTGGGATCATGAATATGATCTGCGTAGTAAACGTGAACATCTTTGCCTTGATGCTCATCTAACAGTGAGTGACGATTGACACGTTTGTGATCAACATAAAAATGCGCATGCTAAAAGATTTGTCAGGAAATTTTGGCAGAGAGGTAGAGAAAAACGCTTTACTTCAGCAATATCATGTCCATACAATCCACTGATAACAGTTGCTAACTGATCACTGAACATAAATTCGCGATTGAGAATCTCACATCGATACGCACCTGACGAAGAGATAAACGTACAAATGACAACTAGGAGCAGACGAATAAAGAGCATACTTTGAGAACTTCCTTTAATGACTGATATATGATGAATGGACGTGCCTTGGTGGCCTTCAGGAATATGACTCATCTGTATATTTCAATTTATAGATAAAAAAAAAGGCAAATCAAAATCAAATTCTACTACTGATGGAAAATAAACGTGGAATTAGAAGAAATGTGTAATTTAGTATCAACTTGACAGTCTTTTCAACAAAGAAAAAACATTTTCTCTTTTCTCTATCCGATGCAAAAAAAAACACTACTCCATGGCAACGACATCGTCCGAACGGCAAATCAGCAAAAGAATGAAGGAAAGAAAATGCTCCGCTTTTTTCCTTTCCTTTTGTTAAAAATGTATCCACACTGCCTGACAGTGAGTCACCCATGTATTAGACAGCACAACAAATGTGATGAAGTCATTCAGACATAGCTGTATAGCCAAAAATATTCGAAAATTAGAGATATTCATTGCTAGATAATGGAAAAAGACAAGTATACTATATTGAAAAAGAATCTAGGATTCGATTAGACACGAGCTATTTCTTAACTATATATTTTGCTTTAGTAGTTCGTACCACAATGGCAATCAGAATTGTCAACATTAATTTGATCGATCGTATTCATCGTGTATGCGGTACCGTTGAAAATCAGAGCTGTTGCATGCGCAAAGACCATCACAGCTTCTGCACTTTATATCAATGGATAATAGAAACATTGAGAGAGATTGGTTATTGAGAGAAAATAGGTGGCTTGTTTACCGAAATATCATGGCTGCTTCAGATTGAGCAATGTAATATTTTATTAGTTCTTCACCGACTGGCCATCCGAAAAATATCGTATTCTGGAAACAGCTGATTCTTTTGGTGTTAATTATATAATTTGATGATTTAATGAGAGAAAGAGCTAGAATGTGTGGAAAAGAACGGTGAAGATTGTCATTTCTTGATAAGTGTTAATTTATTTAATTGAGGATTTTATTTCATTTTGAAGAATTGTCGAAAAAACGGAAAACATCTCTCTAATAAATAAGCGACAATATGTCTTCCTGTCGATAATGGATTAAATTTTTCATTATCAACGTACTTATCATTGATGATGACATATGTTGAATTTTTTTAGTTAAGATTAAACCCTCCTTCTAAAACATTTGTTACAAGTCATTTAATTGGTAAACAATGTCAGCATCCGTGCAAAAATTTCTATACAATATTTTGTTAATTAAATCATTCAACAGAAATACCAATATCAGCATTTGGTACATTAGGAGCAATTCTAACACTAGCAGCTTGTATTCGACAACGAACATTTTGGAATTATTCAATAATCATATATTTATTTGCTGGTTCAATAATAACAGCTATATTCTTAGGGTTTTAATTTAATTTTAATCAATGTGTCAGTACAGTTCGTTTAGTTATTTGTGGAACTTTACTTATTCATGGTCATGACGAATTACAAAAACACATACGTCGTTTGTTATTTCTAGATTTCCATTTGAATATATATATATATATATATATATATGGAAGCAATTTCTTTTACGAAAAAATGCTTACAAATCTTTCCGTTTTCTCTTTTGGGGGACTGTACACGGACGTATATCTACGCATGAGTTAAACGATAGTCTTCCTACAGACTACCGCGATCTTACCAATTCGCTTAGCTCAATTGGAAATATGTGCAAGAGCATGAATAATTACGGAAAAGCATCGGACAAATTTCAAAAGACTCACACCCGCCGAACCATTCCCAGAGAACGGATTCATTCAATGTTAATGCAGACGCTTATAATAAGAGAAATGACTACTTAAAAGCTATCGAATATCATAAAAATCGCTCCTTCGGTGTCACTTATAATTATATCAACAATTACACAAAAGTTCTACGATGTTGCTCAGAGAAAATCACTTCAAAAGCATCTTCATCTTATTAATTATCAGAACGTACTTGAAAACAGTCAGAAAGAAAATGAAAACAAAGGTGGGATGTACGAAGTGAGTTAGTTAGATGGAATGAACTTATCCACCTTCTCATTCTCAAGATAATTTAATTATTGTTTTTTTTAATCAAAACATAATCAAAAAACAAAATATAATAAAAAAACTGAAAAAGTTAGATGATTGGTATATCGAACCTGTATTTGGTAACTTTTCAAAACAATCAAATAATCCATTTGTTATATCAATTATTGTCGTTTGAACTTGATCTGATTGGCTATCTTCTCTAACTGTATCTCCATTTGTTAATAAAATAATACCCAAATTTCTTTTTTCATTCGACATCATTATAGTTGATATACCAGGTACCGATCCTTCATGTCCAATTAAATACCGTCCACCAATAGATTTCCAATACCATAAAAGACCATATTTAGTACTTGACATATTCATATAACTTGTTTGTGGTTCAGCACGAATAATTTCTTCAAAAGAAGATACATTATTTAAAAGCTTTGGAAATTTATTCATAAATGATTGAAAGAATAAACTCAACGAATGAGCTGACAATCGTAAATAACCCGCTGGATATCTACTAAGACTATAAAAAGGTACATATAACCAATTTGAATCATTATTAACTCGAGTAACATTTAGTTGTGGCACCATAGCTTGATATGTTTGAAGCCATGATGCATTATAAATATAATGACCAACAAGATCTTGTTGTTTATTTTGAAAATTACTTAATCGATAACCACCGTTCTCTCGATCGATATCTAAAACTCTTAAGATTTTTTCTTGAACATATTCTTCAAATGATGTATTGGCTAAACGTTCAACGATATATGCAGCTAAACTTGCACCAACATTTGAATAAGACGTCGTATGATTACCGGGTCTGACGGGTAACCAACTAGCATTGTAACTCAAATAGTTTTCAAGAACATCGCCAAGATTTGTTTTGGTAAAATCATCACCAGGAAGGTAAAATTTCAGTTCTTCTTCAAAATTTACTCCAATACCAGCTGTATGTGTAAGTAAATGTCTTGTAGTAATAATATCATCTGGATAGAACGGATGAGTAATGCTTATACGAGGTAATAGATATTTATTGATATCTTCATCAAGGTTAAGAAGATTCAATTCAACCATTTGCATGGCAGCTACAGCTATGAATGTTTTAGAAATTGATGCTAAGACGAAGATTGATGATGAGGCACTCATTGGATGACGTTCTTCTGATTCTGATATTGAAGGAGAATGGTAACCAAATCCCTTTTCATAAAGAATTTCATCTCGATTTAGAACAACAATTGAAGCACCTGGAATATATGCTTTGCTGAGAAGATATTCGATCGATCTAGTTGTTGGAGGACATTGAAATTCTATTGAACTCGCTTGGATTAAAGCAACAATAAATAAGAATCGAAGCATATTTTCTTTTGAATTTGTTTTCTTTTTCTTTTATCTCATTTATATATGCACATCTCTCACGGAATTAGTCATACTTGTGACGATAAAATGCAAAAAATATTTACTTTATTACCTTTACAAAAGGAGGATTTACTCAGCAAATAATGTAACGGAATGACTCATTTCAAGTGACTTAAAAAAAACTTTTTATAATCATCATTCAACGCAGAGTTAACTTGTGAATTGGATGAAATAGTTTTTATGGATGAGACTTATTTAGTAAAACCTTTTTAGCTAAACCTCTGTTTTGTTGTGCAAGCTTCACATCGATTTTCACAAATGAACCGACAAGATTTAATACATCTTGAATGTGATAAGATGTCAGAGATGAGCAAATAGAAATTGCACTATCATGTCATTACCAGCTAGCCGATTCTAGGCTTTTGGAGGCTATAGTATAGTATATTAGTACATATCAGTAAAAGTTTCCGTACAATTTGTATTTGCGCGCCCATGGTTTGCATAGTGAAAGCATGTTTTTTTCAAGTACTCTTACGTATTTTTGCTGGAAAGATGGAATTCGGAAGAATGCAGAAGTTATGAAAATTGGGAGTAGGTCTTTATGTAACGACGATTATTCAAAGATATGTTGATACTTTTCTCAGAAAAACGCATTGATTGATACAGAAACGTTTGCACTTTCACACAATAAAATGATCAATTCAAACCGATGAGTAGAGCCTGAGAAATGAAGCATTTCCTGTAACGCTTCGAATTGATGATGAAGTTTCGGCCAACCAGTCTTTACGTCATCGACAAACTATGTAAAAAGTACTAAAACTTTTCTGTTCTTTTTAATATGCAAAATGCAAACTTTATTTTCAAAGTAAAACATCATTAATTGTTCCATTAAATCATTGAAATACATCAATAATCGCACGCTAAAAGCATAAACACGAAAAAAAACGCCTTAACAATTGTTGATCGAACGAAAAATTTTGCATTTACACATCCCACTTATAAACAGTAGCAGATCGACGAACGCGAAAGTACTCGGTTTTCTCTCCTAAAAACTTCACTATTCATCAACTATGTTCCGTTTCGGATAGAGAAAAAATTATCTTTTTAGACAGTGCGTAAGAGTAAGAAATATTAAAATCTCATCATATTCTTCGATTGAGACTGTATATAGCATAGAAGAGAATAAATAAAAGTATTTTATTTACTAATACCTATAGGATTCATATGATATAGAAATCTATTTGTATTATATTAAGAATAAAGATTTGTTTTGATAATAGAAAATCTTGTAATATAGATCCACATCAGCATTGTATATATTGAACATTTATCTTCAATAATTAAAACTAATTCAATAAATTTATCTGAAGATATGAATTCAACTGATGAAGATAAATATGATTTATGGTCGCCTGTTTCAAAGTTTGTTTTCTTTTTATATAAAAACTTTCTTTATATTTATTCAACACTAAGATTTTGCAAACCACGAAAGAAATGGCTTTTGTTATCTGGATTGTTAGTAGTTCTCCTTGCGACAGCTATTATTACTCCCTTTGCTGTACTTGTTTGGGGTAAGTTTATACAATTGAAAGCATCAATAACTACTAAAATATAGAAAATTTATGAAAATTTGCGTTGAATTTCTTAGTTCCTAACAGTCAAAGAACAACAACGACAACAACAACTACTACAACAACAACCACCGCTACGACTAGTACAACTACTAGTACTAGCACTACAACTACTACGACTACAAGTACAACAACAACTACTACTAGTGAATATTTTTTAAACGCTATGATAAGAAAAATCAATAGTTTTACAAAACTTTAGCGACAACACCACTAAATCAAACATATATTTGTGGAAGTATATCTCCATATACATTATGGACAGCATATTCATCTGATGGTATGACAATGACAATTAGTACAACTACTTGTCATTTCAATTCAACTCCGTTATATTTTACAAGTGTATCTGGTACAAGTACACATTGGTATCTTGATGGTTATAACGCTATTTATGTATCTTCACAAACAGGTTTTACAATTTATGCTCATTCATCAGTAATTACAAGTGGTTCATTGTTATTAAATTATTCTCGATTATATCAATGGAGTGTCAATTGGATTGGTTATGCTTCTTAAAACAATGTTACTTTATTTTTATATATTCTTATACAACCCATAAAAATGGATCTTTTTTGTGAAATTTTCACTTCTACAATACGATTATTTCGTTTTCTAAATAAACTGTCTCGAACCATATGATGCATTATAGCGTTAGCCGGGAAATCCAATGCATTTCGGATGCCCAGGAAATTCCTGGAAATTGAATTTCAGTATAGGCGGTATTGGTGGTATAACATACTATTATCGCATTGAGGGTGCTGCGGAGGGTGATGACAGCTTTTTGTTCGGTAAGCATTTGTCAGTGCACAATCGAATTATTTTCTTTGTCAAATACTGAGAGCTAAGTAGATAAAATACCGCTTATATCGCCTATACCGCCCTATATGGAAGGTATATCTAAAGCTCATTAAATCCTCTTTGAAAATCTTGTAAAAATCAGTTTCCCGGAAAACGCTATAACGCATCAAATCTCTCGAACAATGTGGATGTGTTACCGAATATTTCATACACACTTTAGACAAGACGTTATTCATCCCGCAAACTTCAATATATACGTATGGGTCAATCCATGAGAAGTCATCAATTTTCTAGAAATTTTTTATTTTCGAATAAAATCATTGAAAAATCTTTTTTTCACGACTTTCTCAGCCCCTCAAGCTGATCCTTGATGGAAAAATAGCTAGGGAGTCATTCTCAGTTTTCTTATAAGCGAAAATCACAAACAATATAAAATATTTTTTCGGAATATTCATTTTTTTATCAATAGTAACGCTCGTCGAGGCAGACTCGCTATACCCTCGACTGAACCACTGACTGAAAATACAATAGTCCTATATGCATTTTATGCAAAAAAAGACAGAAATATAACTTTTGAAGGGGTCCCTAGAAACTGATCTTCATTCGTCTCACAGTCTTCAAAAGAACCAAAATACCACTTGTGTTCCTTTTAATTATTCGATATTCCTGACTGACAATTACTCTTCACAGAAAGCAGAAGTTCGCTATAAATGACTATTATGGGTTTGCACTTTTAAACATGTCCTCCTTTTTCTAAATGAAAGATAATTTCAGTAAAACCAAGTGAGACTCGGTATATATTTCGCATTCGAACGCGTCGGATTGTTGATACTTTTGTAACTAGCTAGATTACCAAGCGCAGCTCGTTGTTCGTCGGCGCCCCACAGGGGCGCCACTCACAACTCGCCGCTCCAAAGCTGCCCCTATCTATCATATAATTACCCGTGTGCTACTAAAAAGTATCGAAAACTAATTAGCGTTCCATCAGCATCTCATAGATAAATTTATCCGCGTCCGAACATTTGAGGTTATCTCCTTGATTAAAAAGCTTAAAGGCCTACAAAAACTCTGAATATATCGAAGCTCAGCATTTAAGATTGCTCTCCAGTATGTACTAACTTGTGAATGAATGTATTTTTGGATTACTGGCCTTTGGTATGTGGCAGTCAACCGAGTGTGTTTTTACTTTTTCATAATCAACTCTTCTATGTAGCCCTCCTCTCAGCCGCGGATGAAATGTTTTCTTCATCTCTGTCACATCTCTGCCCCGTCACCCCTCCTCCAGCCTCAGCATTCCTCCAAAATCATGTATTACGAAGTTTTGAGCATTTTCAAAAAAATGTTCTTTTGACCTTTGACCTTTGACCTTTGCCCCCAAGACCCCCACCCTACCCTCTCGTCGATATCAGGCCTCAACAACACCCCAAACCATGTTTTATGAAGTTTTGAGCATTTTCAAAAAAAATGTTTTGTTGAACTTTGACCTTTGACCTTGACACAAACAAACAGACAAACAAACTTTTTTTTCATATGACCCTCCTTTCAGTCGAGGGAATATTCTCGAGTGATTGAAAAACGTATTCGTTTTCATAACCATTGATTGATTCAAGTATTTCTTTCAGTTCATTACGAATGTCTTCCAAAAGTCGATAGTTGATTTAAAATGAGAACAACATGTTTACTTGTACAATTTTCCTTTCCAACGTTTATTACCTATCATGCAAACAACGCCAAATAGACATTGTTTTGCCTTGATTTTTGAGTATATAAAGTGTTCTTAAACGAACAATTCCAGAATTATATTGTTGTCATTCAAAGTCTAAAAAAATCGTAGCAAAACTGAATGGCGGATGCGGCCGAGAAACACTGGGTGAAAAGTAAAATCGGATTTTGTGCCGGCTCATCATACCGAAGTTGATATTTTGTTTTTTTAAGTTTCTAATGAGAAAAACAGTTTTGATTCGCTTCTGTCTCCTCAACTTTAGCGAGTTTTTTTCCAAAATTGAGACTTGAAATGTACTGTAGCATGATATGCACGAAACTTTTCTTGTGTTTCACATCTTACTAATTCACACAGTTTTAAACTACGTATTTGCAGAATCAATCCTTGTCACTATTTTAGTAAACAAATTATTGCATATATATGTAGCCTTACCCAATTTTTCAATTAAACATCAAGAATGAACTCGATGCAAAAAGTCGTTCGGTTCCAACTCTGATATGCACCGATATTTGGTGAATTTATTTGAGGTTTCTATCAAACCATACTAATATATACTATCTTTGCTCTTATGGATTCTATTTGCATTTTCATCATTTTGAGTTACTTGTTCATACTTATAATACTCACTTTCTCCTTCCTCAGAATTTCCCACCATTAGAATGTTTGTTTTTAGTCGTTTTTAATACAATATTAATACATACAAAGTAAGTTGGCACTTTGCAAGAGGAAATAGGAAGAAATAAATGCTATTTTTCTTTATTAATAAAAATTTATTGAGAATTGATGTATGTACTTCTCATAACTGACTTATTTGTCAAATATTGGGGCTATGTCTATGGCTTGAAGCGCATAAATTTATATAAATTAATTAATTTTAATCACAATATAATATTCTTCATAAACTCTTTCTTTCTTTCTTAGGTAAGAAAGTAATCAAATATAAGCATTTATTTTCGTACGAACGTTTTAGCTAACATCGTTGACAACACAACATTTGAGGTATATTCTTCAAAAGACGTTTTAATTCTAAACGAAACGTTTTTGATACGATGACGTTTGTATAACAACTGATACAATTCTCGATCGACGATGTGAAAATTGTTAATATCACTAAATTTTGTTCAATCAGCTGTTGTTCTGGACTTTTTTCATTATACTCTGTAATTTCTTGATAAATATGGAAGATTACAATGGGATACTTGCAAAGAATATAGACCATAATTTCCATAAGTACCATTCGAATCAATTGTTGATCTTTCGTTTGAAGTATTTGTGGACTCCCAGTGGTCACCACTGTTGTATTTGTCGTACGATCTGGATTTGTGGCATGACGAACTCTGCGAAGATTCTTCCATGTCCAAAAACCAAATGTCAGCATAAGACTAGGTAGAACTGCCCCGTGAACTATAAGTGTATAATAAGATATGAAGGTTTCATATGCACCTGGATTGAAATAACAAACGAAAATATTTGGCCCAAACTGAAGAATTTGCATACCAATCCATGCATGAATATGAAAAATTGTCCAAAATACGCATATAGCAATGATGTTTATAACAGCCATTCGACATGTACTATGCCTTCTTGTTGCAGCATTTCGTGAAGTGATTAATGTTCGATCTGCCGATGCTAGAATGAGACAAGATGGCTCATAAACTAATAAAATGAAGCCTATATAATAGCGAAATCGGCAAAAAAAGGTACTATATGCAGTAGGATCGATATTGTAGCCTGATGCAAGTATGAGCAGAAAAAAGGCCGAATAGATATAACTAAGATCAATAATATTTATAGCAATCAAGTATATGGTGCAAGGATTTTTTCGTAAATTATTGCGAGTAAATACCATTAGATTTAATACGCAACTAATAGTACCGACAATAATAAGTATAGAACCACCATATTTGAATATATATTCGTGAAGATAATAGAGAAATGCTGCTGTTGACATCAGTGTAGTGTAGACGATTACTGAAATGAACGCGGAAGATTAAGAAACTTGAAACTTCTATATACAGCACTGATGCAGACAGACGTTTTCAACGCTTAATAGGTAATAATATATTAAGTAATTACGCACATCAAATGTCAAAATGCTGTGACATGTGTATGCTAAGAAGATTTGATGAGTCTACAGTTGCGACAGATAGCTCATTCTCAAAAGAAATACAACTTCTATCTACAGATGTCTAAAGATCTGTGTCGAATTCAATCTTTCTCTAGTTATTCAATTTATTCACACGGCTACTTGATTCTTCTACAGATGTCTAAAGATCTGTGTCGAATTCAATCTTTCTCTAGCCATTCAATTTATTCACACGGCTACTTGATTCTTCTACAGATGTCTAAAGATCTGTGTCGAATTCAATCTTTCTCTAGCCATTCAATTTATTCACACAGCTACTTGATTCTTCTACAACCATCTAAAGATCTACGTATGTTGAATTCAATCTTTCTCTAGCCATTCAATTTATTCACACGGCTACTTGATTCTTCTACAGATGTCTAAAGATCTGTGTCGAATTCAATCTTTCTCTAGCCATTCAATTTATTCACACAGCTACTTGATTCTTCTACAACCATCTAAAGATCTACGTATGTTGAATTCAATCTTTCTCTAGTTATTCAATTTATTCACACGGCTACTTGATTCTTCTACAGATGTCTAAAGATCTGTGTCGAATTCAAACTTGCTCTAGCTATTCAATTTATTCCCACAGCTACTTGATTCTTCTACAACCGTCTAAAGATCTGTGTGCAATTTAATGATATTGCTGTAACTCTCCATTCATCTACACAGCTACTGATTTTTTCCATAGGGTTTGGATTTATCATCCACTGTGAAAAGGGATGTTTAGAATAGAATTTGATGTGAAGTATTCTTGACAGCAGCAATCGAGTTCTCTACATATCTCCTCAATGAGTGTCGTAGGAAAATGGAGTAGAACGGATCATGAACCAGTTGAATGGTGTGTAGAATGGATTGTTTGATCAA